CACGCTTTGCGGATCCTGTCCAGGGAGGAAGAAAAGCAAAAGCTCACACAAATGAGTTCCATGTGTCTGTTCTAAGCAGTTAAGAGCTACGGAAACTAGAAAGGAGTAGACTGGGCACTCGTTGCTCTCTACCAGTGCGTTCGAAGTGTTTCACTCAGGTTTCTCAGATTAATGTGTTTTATAAATCCAGTGAATACTGACATATCTTTTTTTAGAAAATGAAAAGTTCCCCAGACTCCTGCAATATGGTGCAATTTTCCAGGCACGTTTCTATGTTTTCTTCTGGGAATAACAATCAAGATTTCATTCTTGACAACTTTTTAATTTTTGCAAGAAAAGCTAAAGATTTGGCTTTGATTCTGTGAAGTCTTTTACTGCTTTTTTGTTCTGCCTTATATGAATGCAAACTGTTTTTGGAAATTTATGAAATAATTGTATCTAAAATGCTGTATTATAAGACTACATAATATCTTAAAAATGGTTAAAATTCTCATTTTGATGGGAAGGATTCACTTTTGCTGTGTTAGTTTACATGCAATAGTACATCTTCTAATTACCCATGGATTTTTTTTTTTGTAAGTTAATATGGTAAATGATATGTGGAAACAGCATAATTCTTACTGGAGTGCTTTTTCCTTTGCTGCTACTACCTTTGAGAAGTGCTGCAACTCCCCTCAGAGTATATTTAACCATTGGCTATTTGGATTCATAGTTTTAATTGCAAAGAGGTAAAATTCTTCTGTATATGTGGTGTGTAACAGTAATACTTTCTTCTTTATCACAGAAATGACCTGATATTAAGTCTTGAGGTTTTTTGTCACATTTTCCTTGTTAATCAAATCAGAAATCTGAGGTGTTGGCTACATTTTTTAATTAATTGTGCCAAATTTCTGTAAAGCTGCATGGTGATTCTGTAGAATGACAGTTCACTTCTGTAGACACAAAATTGCATTTTCTTTTAAACCACACATTTATCAGTAGTAACTCAGTTCCCCCTTCTGTGAACTTGAAGGTTTGGAGGGCATCAGAGAGGAATCTTACCATCTAGGAATGGTCTTAAATGTAATTACAATCTAATACAATTTGAGGAAATTCCGCATTTTGTTTTATTTTGAAATGATTTTGAGAGCTATATTTGTGTGTATATTGGTTTTGTTTTGCTTACTTTTAACCATGTCAGAATTGGGACTGATTCACTTGTGTTTCCTTTTCCTTGGTGTAGTTTTGCTTTGGTTATTTTTGTTTGTTTTTGACATAACTTGTTATTTGTAGATAAGGTGTGCTGAAAGTATCCATTTTCACTGAGACTTTGGTACACATCCCAATTATTGTAGCAGTCTGTTTAAGCAATTTATTTTTAAACAAAAAGATGAAAGTATTTACCCTGTGTAGGAGAATTAGTGCTGTTCTCTCTGACAAAGCTGGGTGACAGGAGCTCTTCCCTGTGTAGTCAGAGGTGTGAGTGCCCCGTGCTGTGCTCTCTGGTGAGGGACTTGGCATTCACATCTTCCAGGAATCAGATGTCTGTCAGTCCCCAAGAGGACTGCACAGGCTGAAATGCCTTATACCCAAGGCAGTTGCGAGGAGTTTAGTTCCCCAGTTAAAATGCTGCCAGGGAGTACTGTTTGGACTTGTGTAATATGCACTTTTAAAAGCCTAGTTCCACTGTTTAGCTGGGCAGGCTTTTTTCTAAAACCGTTTCCCAATCCTGCCTTGTTAGGGAGATAGCAAGGATTGTTAGTACTTCTGTTTTCTGGATTCTGTAGTTATTAGTACTTCACAAGCCTGCAGACAAAAGATCTGTTTATGCCTTGGGAGAGTTAGCAATTAATCTGTTGAGCTGTATGATTTGAGTGAGCGCAGTACCTCATTTGGGTCCCAGTAAATCCACAGTCTGTGAGAGCTGATCCTGTGACTTGCTTTGCAGAAAGAAACAGACTCCCTTTCAGGCTAATTTGCAGAACCTGGTATCTTTGAAAATGTGTTATCTAATACAAAATCTAGGCTATGTACAAAGGCTCTGTGTTCCCACCACCTTAAAGGTGTACATGAAATACTTTTTTCTTGTGCTTTTTAAAGAACTAGATCAGGGAATCATTTTGTAATAGCTTGTTCCTTTCTAAAATAAATTGAATAAATTCAAACATTTTGGAGAAAGTAAAAAAAAATTGGTAAGACATTTTGGAGCAACTCTTAGGGTGATAACTTATGTCAGCTTTCTGAAATTCATCCTTCCTTAGCGTTAATCTTTAATATTTCTGGAATTTAAATATTTTGTTCTCAGTGGAGACCATTCATTGAAATGGTTAATTTCCTCCACTCTTAGACAGACTTGTGTCTGATGGGGGGGGGGGGAAAG